AAAATTCATGTTAAACTTATAATAAAAGCAAATTTATTAGGTAAGGAATGAAGGTGGGCATGTGGCAAATGTGAGCGAGGGGTGCGGTACCTGCAGCACGACGCTCATGACGGCCCAGAAGTAGTAGGGGTTCTTGGGCGCGATGCGGTAGAGCTGCAGTGCGGCGCGGTGCTGCGCGCGGTGGTCGCCCACGCGCACGTACGCCATGAACAGGTGCGAGTGCAGCTCCTCGCTGGCGGGCTCCGCGCGCACCGCCGCCTCGTACGCCTCGCACACCTTCTGCACTGCACACACAACTAAGACTTCATCCGCCCACAAATAGCTGTTTAAATGCTTAGGTTTTTATACCTCTTACCGCCATTTATGTATAAAGTTATAATTTACAGGAATGTATGATACAATTTGCAAAGAAACTGAACCACTTTTATTTGTTATTTATGAACATAGGTGGGGGGTTAATGTGTTCTAAATTAATAACATGTCAGTTGAGCCATCATTTTACTTAGTATGTGTCTTGTATTAATTTTTGCATTATTTCTTGTACACATACAAATTCAGGACAATAATAGATGTGACTGACATGAAACTAATCATCCAAATAAAAATGCTGTCCCTCTGCTCAAGTTATATCTACTTGCTATATTTTTTTAAATATCACTTTTTAGATTGTAGTGAAAACAATTAGTTAGTTCTATCTACTCAAGGGAAAATAGGGAACTAATTTATATCCTTTTAAATACTTTTCTTGAGAACTAATGAAATGAGGCGAGGTTACCCGGACTGTACTGCGGGCCATGCTACATACGTTGCTGCGACTCCCTGTAGGAGATGGTCATGGCTTGTAGCGTGGTGTCGTCGCTCGGCTTTTCTTCGGCGAGCGCCTCCAGCACCGCCTGAGCTTCACACTTTTTTCCTAACCTTAAAAGCGCCAGAGCTTTTAAAGCGCGCGCGGCTTGTAGTGTAGGACTTTTCTTTAGGACTTTTTCGGCTTCCTGTAGCGCTTTCTTATTTACTCCATTGTCCAACCAATCTGCAAATACACAAGCAGATTCATGGAAGCAACTTATGAGAGAACGGTTTCAATAGGTTAATACAATTTTTACCGTATATCGGCCGTAAGCGACGTTCAATAATTCCACCATCGTGCATGTGCTGCGGACGCACCGCCATCTTCTATTTAAAAATATGTCTTTCGGTAATTAAATGCAATTTCGTGTCTTTTTATACTTTTCGCTGCACGTTTGTTTTGTGCTTGTCGTTAATACTTTCTGACATCTGACAGTTCGCTGACACTGACATTTAGTTTTGAGTTATAATTGACACGATCTGTCAAGGATGCGTATTCCTCTCTGTCTAAAAAAAACTGAATGTTATCATTTTGCTGTATGAAAATTCTAAAATGTAGATCTACAAAGGTCTTATCTCTCTGTCTCTCTTAATAATTAGTGGGTCCCATCGTTAATTGCCACAAAGAATATATGGCCCCCCATGGATGTATTACTAGAACAGGATAAAGCTCCTGTCGAAAAATTTAAGCCGAGCAAGACTTTAATAATTGTTCCCTTTTTTCACTCTCTGGCGATGGTGACTATATTAAAATATGAGTTAAGGGAACTATAAAAATCTTGTTTTTGTTGTCTGACGTCAGCTGTTTATTGCTCCAGACGGATTTTAACGTGTCAGTGTTATCATTAATGATTTTTTTAAAAATTACATCGGTACAGATCGTATGCGGTATATGAACATAATTTTCAATTTGGGGCCACGGGCTTAGTGCGGGTAAGCGTAAAAAGCTAGGTTTGTACGGCACATAGCTAAATAAAATACTTGTGAAGTTTATGAAGCAAACCTAGCTTATTCCTTATATCTTTAATCTGAAATTAAAACAAAGTTATTTTAATAGAGAAAGAAAGAAATAAACGCATAAATGTTTTAGTTATTTGTCCTTGAACTAGAGTTGGATAGTTATGCATGGTCACCGTAATTCTTCACCAACAAATTATGTTTAAAACTTTTACTTGTGAAAATATAACCTACAATCAGCATAATCTCACTCCTCCGCGACATGAATTTTTCCATTTTAACTAAAACCCTTGAAAAATATCACGAAATCAAAAAAGACTCCGCCATTAACGTTCGAGTCGGGATGTCATATGGGGTTGTCAGTTCAGGTGTCCCAATTTCAAACAAATAAAAGAAAACCTGTACTCCAATCGCAAAATTTTTGTGTTAGTAAAGTGTTACTTGTAGCAAAAAATAATATTGCTTTCACATGTCGGTAAAAAAATATCATTTTTTAGAAACATTTTTACAGCATTACATTACATCATTTGCCTTTTTTTCTACAAATAACGAAAGTATTGATGTCTGGCAACTCTAAGTCGGACACTTCACTTGTAGCCCTTTCACTCGTATTAAATTTTTGTTTTGCGTGCAACAAGGCTCTTACACCCTTAGCATAAGGCTTTATTTTCTGTATTTTAACTGAAAGATGTACAGATAGAACTCACTCCTGTTGTAAGTAGTACTTATTACCTCCAAAACAAAACACTGCCTACCTTAAGTTTAATAGCGTGAATATACATTACATGTACAAGTATAGCCTAAAGTGTATCGTCGTAAGTTTAGGCATTTTACTAAAAAATAATTATAATTATTTGAATACATACTGTGATGACATCGTACATCGTACATAAGTAACTAATGTGTGTTTACGATTTATTATGTTAAAATAATAATTAATAAGTATATGTTTAAATATAGATTTATAGTTCGTCTAAATAAGATAGATTAGTTTGATAAATGACGCATATGCAGTATAGAATTAACTTTGTATGAAGACAAATGCCGTACTTAATAGTATAGTATCGTAGTGACGAAACGAACACGCATACCGAGCCATTATGAACTATCGATATTCGGTTTAAATAAAATTTATCGAACTTAACTAAAATTATTATTTTCTTATTAACTAATTTAGAGGACAATTCTAATATTGATTATGGTGTAGAGAATTCAGCGACGAGAGAAGTAGTAGCGAAATCCAATTGGATAACGTACGGCTGTAGTAGTAATAAATATATGATTACTCTCATTATTTGTACTGATTCTGCAGGTCATTATTAATTTGAGTAAACATTGTTCTTTTTAAAAATTCATAAGTTTTAACTATGTATCTATCGATTCCAACTTCCATGAGAATAATATAAGAATAAAATCGAAAAGATTCATGCTTGATTTTACCCAACCCATCCCTACTAAATTGTTACATGAATCAGTCAAACTAATCTAACTTATTTAGACAGACTATAGATATTGATATAGACAACTTTTATAATGTAATGTAAGTATGTATGATCACCAGTCGCTCCTCACTAGTCGCTGCGCCATTTCGTGTAAAATCGCTGTTTTCA